GAATCAAATGCTAAATTGGTTTGGCACTTTCTTATTTTAGTCTTGAGATTATTTCTTGATTTGGAAAAGAGTAACATTTAATTTTACTTTAGAGATCAGCCTCTTCATGCTACTCTAATCAGCAAGACTTTTCTTGGTTGGGGGGTAGTGGTGGGGTTTGAGGACAGAAGGAAAGTGGGGGTGGGGGAGCAAGAAGGAAGACCTCCCAAACATCAATAATCCTTTTCCTTGCACATAAGAATTATTATCAATACCCTAGATGTGAATAATGTGGTCTAGCACTTTTTTATTTATGACTGTGGCAATGAATATAACTTGGTGCTTAACCAATTATTTTTAAGAGGTGGGAGCACAGTATTTCTTTGAATGTTGAAAGCCAGAAATAGAACCTTTAAGAATTTCTTCCATCTGCCAGCCTGAACGTTGGCTGCATAGAGATTTCAACAGCACACGTGATAGAATAGGACCTGTTGCCCCACATGCAGAACACAGGCCCACGAAATCCAGCGCCCCTTGGGACATGAAATTAGCTGAATCCTGTTGCCGGCCAGTGCCCCCCTTAACTGCTTGGCTATCAGAGGTAAGAACACTTACCCAGAGGTAAGTGACATTTAATCCATGTCACTACCCATGAGCAATATCCATGCCCAGGAAGGACAGACTGTTCAGGAATAAACACGCATAATGATGCCTTTCAGCAGCAGTTTGCTCATTTTAGGAACTTCTCACAGGGATAAGTAGGAGGTGAAATCTAGGGTATTGGTTTTGTCGTTTCAAATGTCTGTTTGGGTTGGAAATGGCTTGAAAAGGAAGTGGGCTTGTTCTGGATGAGTCAGGACTTTTAAGAAGAGATCCAGAGACAGTTAAGATACAGTCCCCAACCCAAAGAGTTACAAGATTTGTAGGAGAGGCAGACAAGTAGTTGGAACTGGAAAAATAAAACACCCTGATGTCTTGGAGTTTGCCCTTGATGATAGAATAAATCTCTACACCAATTCCTTCCCTATCAGTGAGACTACTGGGGGGAGGGAATCCTGCCTGAGAATTCAATTTGGCCCAAAGTCAAGACAGTCTCAGTGTCCCGGCTTCTGCCGCGGGGGTGTATAGCTGAGGGTGGAGTGCGGCGGGTAGATGACTCGGAGCTGGGAAAGGCACCAAAGTAGGCCCAGTTCTTTCCTCTCCACATTTCAGTTGCCTCATCACGTCTCCAGTTTCAGAAAAGCCCGCTACGCACACAGCCTTCCCTGCACCAGCTCCGTGAGGTTAGTTTGGTGGCAACAGTTTCCTGGAGACCGAGGACAGCGGTCCTGGGAGGACACAGCTCCCCTCCGTATACACACTCTCCCCGGATCTCCAGGGCAAGGGGAGCCTTACAGAGACAATGGTGAAACACCTGGGTCACAGGATGAAGATTCACAGACCACGGCAGTGGTTTGAGTTCTCTATGCAGAGGGGTTTCCATGCCCCACCCCCATCACCCCTACCCTTTTTGCTGGGTCAGTTGCAGCAGCTCCTTCCTTGCCTCCAGGGAGTTCCATGAAGGTGCCTCGTGTCTGCACACCAGCACCAGGTGTGTCTGCACCCCCTGACCTCCCGCTCCTGCCCCTGCTCCTGCGGCCTTGCGGGACGCGGTGCCCTCGCTGAGGGCGACAGAGGAAGTCCATGTCAGAGTGCTCCCCCTCCCTCACTGATGCAGGGCTTCCTGCTCCTGTTGCTGCCAGGCCCAGCACCCTGATAACTGCCCTGTGTGCCCAGAGTCTTTCAGGGGCCTGGGCAAAAGGCTCCTTCAATCTGATGCCTCTTTAGAAGGCTTTCTCTACCCAGTTTTCAGGGGAAGCCATGGAAGCTATGGAAACTGTCAAGGAAGACAGTCAGGGAGGCAGGGATGGTTCGTTCTTAGAAGAGGTACTCTTCTGCGTTGGCCCCAGGATTAAAGACCTTGATATGGTCCCCGAGACTTGCTGTGATCTGAACTCTGCCCTCCTTGCCAGCCCCATTCCTCACCACCCCGTTCAGTTTCATAGTGCTTCTCCCTTACCCATCTCTAGAAGCACTATGCCCTCGGCCTGGAGACGGTCCTTTCACCTTTAGCCTCACCCACTTTCCTCCCACTTCTGTTGATCAAATCCTACTCCTCCTGCTGGGTTCAACTATGATACCACTTGCTCCAGGAAGCTACCCATGTCTACTCCCAACACTGGAGAAAGTTGCCCTCTTCTATAATCCCTGTCCTACCATCAAAAGGAGGTCACTTAACATTGCACTGTCTGTTGGCATCTCCTTCTCCCCTACCAGTCCCTTAAGAGTAGGGACTGTATCTTACACTGATTTTCTTTGCCTTTCTATTGAGAGGATGCAGGAGATGATAAATTCTCGGATGGATGAATAGTAGAACATTTCCTGAGATCAAACTCGTACCCCCGAGTCTCTTCCTTTTAGACACATTTTTCTCGAAGAGGTAACCAGCCCCCGGTGTGCACAGACCCCTGGTGGGCCCAGCCTGCTGGTTTTCTGGCCTGACGCCTAAGGTCAGCCTGGCTTCGGCTTGAGCTAGGATTCCTCCCACATAAGCATCTGATGGACATGAACCACAGCAGTGCTTCTCAAACTGTAATGTGTACCGGAATCCTGGGATCCTGTTAAAATGCAAATTCCAGCTTAGTAGGTTGGGGTAGGGCCTGAGCTGCTAAGGCTGCTGTTTGGAGACCGCACTTCGAGTGCTGAGGCACTAATTAGAGGACTTGTTCAGTCTCCTGAGACTGATTCCAGGATTCTAATTTACAAGAAGTAAACGGCAAAGATTCAAGGACTGATGAAGGCTTTCTAGGAGAGATTTATTTATTTTTTATGCTTTATCTTAGTGACAACTGAACATGTGGCCCTCACTATAGGTTGCTTTCTCCTCTTCTTATGCTCAATCCTCTATCCCTTGTCTAACAGAGGCTGCTAAATTTCAAATGCCCACCCTCCTAGCCTCCCTTACTGTTGTGCATGCTAAGTCACTTCAGTCATGTCTAACTCTTTGAGACCTTATGGACCATAGCCGGCCAGGCTCCTCTGTCCATTGGATTCTCCAGGCAGGAATACTGGAGTGGGTGGCCCTCCTCCAGGGGATCTTCCTGACCCAGAGATCGAACCTGTGTCTTCTGGGTCTCCTGTATTGGCAGGTGGATTCTTTAACCACTGAGCCACCTGGGAAGCCTTACTGTTCTGAATGAAATTCATAACACGAGCTGGGGATAGGAGGTGGTGAGTTCCTAAGTTCTGCCTTAAAATACTAATGCAATGGATTGAGTTTCAGAACTAATTTCAGGGGTTTAAAGACAGCAGGCCAATATCTTTGTGATTATCTTAGCTTTCCTCTTATGCTTTTTAACTCGTAGTCACAGAATAGCTGCTGAAGCTCAATAAGATCAAGCATCTCTAAATATCACCAAATATCTAGTCAGTTTCAAATTTTCATGATCATAATTTTTTCTACAGTTGGTTTATTTGAGCAGGAGCATATTACATTTGGTTATTTTTAATAGCATTATATGCTTTAAGCTCCAAATTTCTTTTTAAGAGATAAAAATAAATCCTTGTTTGTTTAAGCCAGCTTTACTGAGTTGTATGTTCCTTATAGCCAAACTGTAATGCAGTATACATTTTTTAAAATTAAAACTTTCCTGAATTAACACATTTCCTGAATTAACACAAATAAACACACTATGCTTATAGAAATCTTTAAAAACATGGAAAAGTAGAAATAAAGAAAATCAGAGTCCCATTTTTGAAGTACTATTAACATTTTTACATATTTCTTCCAGTGTTGTTTGTTTAGTTGTGATAATACAATAGTAATGAATCTGCATAATTTTTGTTTACTATTTTAAAAAAAGCATTTTAGGGGTGATGAAAACATTCTAAAGTCGATTGTGGTAATGGTTGTATACCTGTACATATTCTAAAACATAAATAGGTGACGGTTGTTCAACTACACATACTCTAAAAATCATTGACTTTTACACATTGGGTGAACTATTGTGTATGGCATGTAAATTATATCTCAATAAAGCTGCTTAAAATTTTTTAAATAAGCATTTTCTATTATGATAAACTTTTTAATATTTTAAATTCTTACACAGTCATCTGTCAAGAGGCTAGACCTCAACTTATTAAGCCTTTCCCCTATTGTTGGATATTTGAGTTGGCTCTACCTTTTGACTGCCATGAAAATCACTGCAGCTAACTTCTTGGTACTTAAGACTTCTCTCTGTCTAGAAGTAGCTCTTTCCAGAAGAGCTGAAATATTATGCCAAAGTGTAACAAAGCTTAAGCATTTGTTGAACATTAGTGAGGGCTTCTACCAGTTAGCTGTGGACAACACTTAAGTATTATATCAATACTTTATATGTGCAATTTCTTTAAATTCTTCACCCCCCTAAGAATTTAAGTTCAGTTCAGTTCAGTTCAGTTCAGTCGCTAGTTGGGTTCGACTCTTTGTGACCCCCATGGACTGCGGCATGCCAGGCTTCCCTGTCCATCACCAACTCCTGGAACTTGCTCATACTCATGTCGACTGAGTCGGTGATGCCATCCAACCATCTCATCCTCTGTCACCCTAAGCGTCTATTTTATCCCTGTTTTTAGAAGTTGAATTGAAGCTCAGAGAAGATAGCTACCTCCCCCAAGCTCACAAAGCCAAGAAACAGAGGAGCTCAGGTGCTTGTCCAGCCCTGCCCACTCCCAGGGCCGTGATCATTGCACTCCTTACCAGGTCTTAATCTTTTCAAACCTTTCTAAGTTCAATGGTGAAAATATAATATTGTTCTGAGTGATTTTCTTTTCATTACTGGTGATGTTGGCTACTTCTTTGTGTTTGCCAAAGCAGATACGCTCCCTTTTTGTTCATCACCTGTTGTGGTCTTGCCCATAGTTGACTACCCAGTTTGAAGAGTGAATAAAATGTGATCCATGGCTTATCACCATAGTGAAAAAGAACAACTCCAGGCACAGTCTCCTTCTTAGAGGGCTGCACGAACGTGAAAGTACTTTTAATGATGGCCAACCTGACTCGGGGAACTTCCTACTATCAAGCTCTTTGACACAAATGCCTGGCTCGCTCCCTCATCCCTTCCACCTGTCTGGAGCCTGGTCACAGACCCTTCATCTCAGCACGGGGCAAGGGAAGACCCCCCAGTTGTGGGGCTGGGTCTCCACCTTGAGAGTAGCCTCTGTTCCCTCCTGAAGCAGGAGGGCTTGGAGCAATACTCAGGCACTTGTTCCTCACTCTGCTTCCAAAGCACTTAACCAAAGAGTTACTTGCTTTCCATGGTTATGTAGACAAATATCACAATAATGAAGATGCCGAACACAGCAAGTGTCAAGCGCATTGGAAACATTTCTAGGTTCCCGTTTCCAGCTCTCCTGTTCACTCTGCAGCAGGCTTTCTCTTTGAGGTTCCTCAGGGCTTTGTATCTGATATTTGGTGCTCTTGCAGCACATCTGTGAAAACAGTAGTGGCCTTTAGGGTTGTGTACAACTGCTACTTGAGGACCCCTTAAAACGCGTGGGGCTTCAGTCCCAAGGGAGCAACCATGGTGGGACTTCTGAAAGCAACCCTCGGCTCATTTAAAACCTAAGCTAATTTCAAAGAGTAATATTAACAGCATATCACCAAGATGTGAGGTCTCTAAAATCCCACAGAACGTGTATTTATCACCGTGTGTGTGATATCTTCCAATGGTGGTGCAAGGCCGGGCTCAGGGCCTCACAGTCCCCTGGTGCCCGTTGGGGATGGGTACTCGCTGATGGGGGCATCTGTACATTGGCCCTCTCCCTTTTCTCCACAGGTATAAGCACTGATTTTTCAGGGAGGAGATGGGAACTACTTCTGAAATCTGCTTATTTTACATTGCCAAAGGAAAGGGGAATTTCTGATCTGCTAGTCAAATCCTGGCAATCGGCCAAAATTGACTCAGAAGTTAGGAAGTATACCAGAAGGCTTTACTGTTTTGACCCATAAAACATCCATTTTGAGCTCTTATTTCAACCCCTTGCTCTTTTTTTTCTTTTCTTTTTCCTTTCTCACCAATAGGAATAAAGGTTTCTCTATGAGTACTAATGTTTCTAAATGACTTGGGTTCTGATCTCAGTTTACTGTGATTTATGCTATCCTCCTCAGCTTCTCTGGCCCATTTCCTTATCTCTAAATATGAGTAGTGAAGTACAGAGTCTGTAAGGCCCCTTAGACTTCGAAATTGTGAGAGATCACCAGTCTTTCTCCTTTCGCAACACATTCTTTTCAGACTCAAACCCTTCACATAAATCTGAATAATGAGTTTTTTTCCAGGAGTTGCATAAGACTCATATCTTATGTACATACATATCTTCTCATATGTTAAGAAAAGCATTACCTTCTTCCCTCAGTACGCTTAGAATCCGAGCAGAAGTTTTCTACGGCTTTTGGTTTACTGGTGGAAGTCTTGCATCTCTAACGAACAGAAAAAAAATATCAAGAATGTATAGCTTCCAATATTTTATACAAAGAATCTTTTTTTTTTTCTAGGAAAAGTCATATAATCTGAGAACTGACAAGTTCTGGTGTATCAGGTAGTCTGTGTGTGTGTGTGTGCGCTCGGTCATGTCTGACTCTGTGACACCATGGACTGTAGCCTGCCAGGCTCCTCTGTACATGAAACTTTCCAGGCAAGAATACTGGAGCAGGTTGCCATTTCCTATTCCAGGGGATCTTCCTGACCCAAGGATTGAATCCACGCTTCTTGCATCCCCTGCATTGGCAGGTAGATTCTTTACCCCCGTGCCACCTGGGAAGCCCATTGGGTAGTTTAGTACCTCATAACACAAACTTTAAGTTAGCCTTCCTTTATTCAATAATTAGTAAAAACATCCAAGTTCTGTAGAGTAATATTTTACTTCAGTGACTCAACACGAACGGCAGACACGCCGGTGATGAGGGTCACGTGATGCCAGCAGCGTTTTGTTCTTAAATATCAGCTCTTTCTTTTCTCTCTTATTTGTACTTCTTTATTGCTTGAAACTTTTTATAATGAGCCTGCATCATTTTTATATAAAGAATAAAATTATTTTAGAAGACAAGTTGGCAATGAACATGGATTAGAAAGTAATTTAGGAAAATGAAAATGTTCTGTAAGAGGAGTAGAAGGAGAGATAATCACGGTGTTTCTGTTTTTTCCTTTTCCCCCAAATTTCTTTCATACTGGTATCTTTTTCAATAAAGTCAAAAGGTATAGCTCTTTAGGCCTTTGTTCCCTCTCTGTGAAACAGAGTTGTAAAGATTAAATGATTTAAACTGTATGAAGTGATGAAAACATCTGGCACATGGTAAGCATTCAATAAACATTAGTCATAATGATTGTGATAATGACAACTGTTATTAATCTCATGTTGTTGTTTCTCCTCATATGTCTGGTTTCCCTTGACTGTCCATTTATAGTTAAGATTCAGGCCTCATCATCCTCCAATGTCTGCAGTGTCCAGGGGGTGACCCCTAGGAAGGTGAAGATGTGGTGTCAGATGGTGTCACTGACTGCCATTTACGAAGTTCTAGGTCCCATTTCCCATGAATGCACTGAGCCTCCTCGACCACCCTACCCTCATCTGGTAGACACTCATGGCTCCATGCTAGAGAGCGTATGTTTGAGGCACAGAAAGGTTCATAAGTTGCCTAAGGTCACTCAGTATTATCAATGGAACTCTACACTAGACTCCTCTCTACCCTCCAGCTTCTAAAAAAATAATTTCCCTCCTACAAGAAGTCTTCTTCACTGCTCTTATCCACTCAGATCACTCATCTGGTCTATATTTCTTTGACCCTCATATATATATTCTATACCTGACTTTGTTGACCTGAAGTTTTATTTATTTGTTCAGTAAACACTTGTACTGTGCTGCTGAGTACCAGTCCCCATGCTGGCAGTGAGGATTTTCAAAGGGACCACCACACTATCCTTGTCCTAAACAGCTGATCACTGAGTGTGGGGAGTTTGTGTGTATTCTGCACTGACTTCCTTCTCCCTAATCAGACCATCTGTTGGATCTCACAGAGCTGTCTTCTATTTCTCTCCACTCCCCACTCCCAGTTTTATTGAAATAATTGACATACATTGCTGTATAGATTTAAAGTGTACGGCAGGATGGCTTGATTTTCTATTTCTCTTTAATCAAGCCATATTATCTATCACTGGGGGTAGATATTTGTCCCCCTCCCAGGGGCCCAGCACCCCTGAACACAACAGGAGCCTCCGACAGCTGCCACGCCTCCAGAGTCCTCAGGAGGCTGTTGGCTGAGGGTGAGGGAGTCAGGCGTCAAGAGCAAGATGGGACTTGCCTCACAGGAGAGGACTGACCCCCACGTTCACAGAACAAACAGAACAAGACCCAGAAGGAAAGACCAAAGGAGGAGTTCTGACAGCAGGACTGAGATAGACTGACCCGGGGGTGATGGAGGGCGGGGCAGGAGAGGGAGGCCGCTGGGCACTCGTGTGAGCCACAGAATTCTCAGGAGGAAGGACAGCCCTGTGTGTGTTGAGGAGAGCAAGTGTGTTGTTAGGACACCCCAAGAGAACACACAATTTAGTGAGTCTGGGCACCCACCTTCAGAGGCTGCTGTGCCAGCAGGTGTGATGGGGTCAGCCCAGCGTGGGGCGGGAAGGGCCTGGCCTGCTCCGTGACCATCTACTGGGGGTCACCCACTCCGGCAGAGACCACCAGTGGTGAGTCAGTTGTGGCCTCCACCATTCCCCCCTACCCACTACCCCACCTTCTTAAACAAGATGTTCTCAGCAGTGGTTTACCAACTGCAGGGTCTCTGCAGATGGTAGGAGCTGTGCCTGGCACAAGAGCACCACGTCTGAGGGAGCACTGTTCCCAGCGAGGACGTCACCGCACCTGCACTCCATCAGTTTCCTGGAGGAAGAACGCAAGGCTCTGGAGGTAGAAGGACTTTGAAAACTCCCACATATGTGTGGGCTTCGGGGGTGTGCTCGCCAAGAGACACTCAAACTATTTCCAAGGGGGTTGGAAAAATCTTTTATAAGCACATTCTTTTCTTTAAACCTTTTTTAATTACAGAAGTTTCAAACATATACAAAAGTAGACAATAGTATAATGAACCTCTGTGTACCCATCACATGCAGTTTCTTTTTAATTCTCTTACATTTAAAAATAGATATGTTAAGTAAAGCATTGGGGTAGAAATCTGTTGCAAAATCAAATTATAGGATTTCACAGTTCTTAGGCAATCACATACTCCCCTCCTATCTTTCCTCCTGTCATAGGAGGTGTAGGTCTTTGATTTCCTTTTCTTCTATAATTTATTGCCCTTACTTGTATTCTTAGAGTTCTCCTACAGTATGTAAAAGGTGAATGTTTTGATTTTCAAAAGAAGAGTAATTATGCTTGTCACATGACTCTGCAGCCATCAATAATAATAATAAAGACTATATAACAGGGAAAGAGTTATCAGCTAATGTTAAACACAGTAAAGTACAAAATGCTATGTGCACATTGACGACAGCTGTGTAAACACATACTGCATGTGCACATAAACAAAAACTGGAGGGAAATTGAAAGAATTAAATCAGTTTTTGCATGTTTGTAGTTGATTTATTTTTTATCTTTGAACAATTCTTTAATGTTGCTGTAATACGATTTTCACTGTAAACACCATTTACAAGGGAACTAAAAAATATTGGTGCTCATTAAAGCCATGGCTTAGTGAGGGTAAATGGCACCCATGGGGAAATGGAATATCTCTGCTCCTTTCTCCCTATGCCCGGAGCTAGATTCTGCAAAGGCAGCGGCTTTTGCAGAGCATTTGCAGCTGATACTGAGGAAATGCGTGATCTCTGCTGCTCCACCCCCTTCAGTACACCCCTAGCACTGAAATCAGAAAAATACGCTCATCCACATATTACCGATCAACTGTAGATGTAAATGTAGTAGTTCTGAGATATACCAGTACAATAAACCGTGAGTGTCTCACTACAATACCAGCTAACACTTACATAGCATTTCCTGTGTGCCAGTCCCTGTTCTAAGCATTTTACAGAAATAAACTCATTTAATCCTACCACCCTATGAGGAAGATGCTTTTATAATGCCCATTTTGCAGATGAGAAAACTGAAGTATGGCTGGTTTAAGTAGTGTGCCCATGGTCACACAGCTGGCGAGATGGTGGAGCCAGCGGCCAATCTAGGCGGTGCAGCCTCGGAGTCCCTCCTCCTCACAGCAGGCTGTACTGCGTAATGACGGTGCTGCTTCACTGGAAGGGAATTAGAAATACTGTGCCCGAATGTTTAATATCTTCAGCATTGAACATGCCTCAGTTCATTTAATCTTTCTAACAACTCTAAGAGCTAATTGTCACCATTTTATAGGTGAAGAAATAGAGACTTATAGGCTAAATTATTTACCCCAGATTACACAATTAGTGAAAGGAATAGCTGTAATTTAAATTCAGATATTCTGGCTTCAATGCCTATGCTTTCTGGTTTTTAGTTTTGGAATCATTCTGTTGGGGAAATTCATCATTATGAATATATCAAAACATATTTCTGAAAACTGATATCGTTAGTTCATAAATTATCCAATCATCAATTAATTTCCTGAAGAAGTAACACTTGTAACCATCAGATCTCTTCTTCAATATTTCAGATAAATTGTCTTTTTATAAGCTTTTTCCAGGTAGAGTATTTTGTGCTAATTCTGGCCTACTTATATATCAGTTCAGTTCAGTCACTCAGTCATGTCTGACTCTCTGCGACCCCATGGACTGCAGCACATCAGGCTTCCCTGTCCATTACCAACTCCCGGAACTTACTCAAACTCATGCCCATTGAGTCGGTGATGCTACTTATATATGTGTGTGCGTGTGTATGTGTCATAATGAATGTGAAAGTGGATTGTGTATGAGATATTATGTCATACTCTGTTATGGCTAACTATAAAACACTGGGCTATTATCTAGAGCCAGAAAGAACAATAATCATTTTGTATCCTCATTAAATCATTACTCATCCAAAACTGTATTCGCTCTTGAAAAATAATCTACCTTGACTAAAGCCATTCATACTTGCCCATAAAGAAATGCAAGTTTGTTTGCATTTCCACAAGAAGTGTATTTTATAATGTAGACCCAAATCTAGACAGAAATGTCATAGGTTGATACCCACAATTATAGGCAATCAAAGCGGTGCCACACGCTGGGTTTCCCACCCTTTTTTCCTCTTATCCTCCCATGACTTCTAACTGTTGGACTCTGGGGAATCTAGAGGCAGTGAAGCTCCTGGGGGTGGGGACGAAATTCTCTCCTAATCACTAATGCAATTAGTCGCTAACTCACTAAAGCAATTTTTGGAAAAGGCCTATATGTAGAACCAGACTTTTTACCAAAGACTTGGCAAACTGGCAGTTTGTGACCCTGCTTAAAGGCAGAAAAAAAACCTTTT